CTCGCGCGCCGGCGCACACGTGCGGACCAGCGCCCCGCAGGCTGCCGCGCTGGGCCGCGTCGGTCAGTGGTGCTCCTCCTCCCGTCGCGGCTGGAGCTCCGGCGGGGCCCTGCGGGACTTCCTGGCTGCGCACGGGCCTCTTTTCCAGACGGAGCGGCTTGCTCCGGCCAGCCGGGTCCTGGGCGAGGCCTCCTCCGGCCGCGGGCTGCCCGGGCTGGCCCTCCGCGGGTGCTCTTCCGCCTGGGCCGCGCCTCCCGTCTGGCGTTCTGCCGGCTGCTGCGCGGACGGGCCGGCCCTCGTCCGCAGGCCTGGCCCCGTGCCGCTGAGAAGCCGTTTCTCCTCTTTCCCGGCTCAGGAGCTGCGTCGGTCACGTCTGGTCTCCCCCTGCTTGGTGCTCTGGTTTCATACTCCAACGTCGCAGGGCTTCTTCAAACTCAGCCTTTCCTGTCATCTTTGTGTTGAAACTGACTGCTGGGCTGGAATCAGGGCTCCTGTTTAGGAACACATCATCTGCTCTCTCTCTGCTTAGATGTGCATTTCCTTTCTTGTTCTTTTTCTTTTTTTGCCAGTCCTGGACTTGAACTCATGGCCTGGGCACTGTCCTGAGCTTCTTTTGCTTAAGGCTAGTGCTCTACCACTTGAGCCCATAGCACCTTATGGCGTTTTCTGTGTATGTGGTACTGAGGAATCGAACCCAGGCTTCATGCATGCTAGGCGAGCAGTCTACCACTGAGCCACCTTCCCATCCCAATATGCATTTTCTTTACACCTCATTCGTTTAAAAAACAACTTTTTAGTTTTAAGGAAGTAGGCTTGTGCTTAGAGACAGCTTGGTTACCGATGATAAAGTTTGGACCTGATCAGTGCTGTATGTTTACAAAGAACCAAGACAGAGTCCATGAGAAGATTCAATGATAGGAAAGACCATCGGTGTATCCACCCCAGACCCAGCTGCTTGGAGGCCTACGCAGAAGTTATTTAAAAACAATGCCTCTGTAATGTTCTCACATGGTAAACAGCTCCCATTATACTAAATTAGAAGTTATATACAACCGTTAGTCTTTTCATGTATTTTTATTCATTCATTATTACTATTTTGGTGGAACTGTGGTCTGACTTCAACTTTAGTAGGCTTTCTTTTTACCCCATCTTTTTGCTTTGTTTTTATTTATTTTTTTGTCGGTCATGGGGCCTGAACTCTGGGCCTGGGCGCTGTCCCTCAGCTCTTCAGCTCAAGGATAGCACCATACCACACAGCGCTACTTCCGGCTTTTTCTGCTTATGTGGTGCTGAGGAATCGAACCCAGGGCCTCGTGCATGCAAGGCGTGCAGTCTACCAAGAGCCACCTTCCCAACCCTGTTATTTTTCAATTATGATCTCAGGCTTTTTGTCCAGGGGTAGCCTCAGACTACCTAGGTAACCCTTTAACATTGGTGGGATTACTGATGTGAGCCACCATGACCAGACCTTTCCATGTATTTAGAAAGTATCAGTTTATCTATACTCAGTTATGGAATTTAGCATGATTACTCCATGTATAAGTTCAGTATGTAAGATGGGGTTAAGGTAGTTGGCACTGCCATTCCCTTGTGAAAGATACTTTCGAATTGCTACCTGAAAGTTATTTATCTTTTTCTGCTTTGCTCTATGCTCTTCTCAAACTTCTACTCCTGCATTGTTGAAGAAGAATGGGTAGATGATGAGTATATAAGTTACCAAGTGTGCAAGTTTTATTTTTATAGATAACAAATTTGTGTGTGTGTGTGTGTGCACACGCACGTGTGCTGGTCCTGGGGATTGAATTTAGGGCCTGCCCCCCCTGAGCTTTGCTGCTCAAGGCTAGCACTCTTGTTACTTGAACCACAATTCCACTTCCTGATTTTTTTTTTGATGGTTCATTGGAGATAAGAGTCTCACAGCCTTTTCTGCCTGGGCTGGCTTCGAACCACAGTCCTCAGATCTCAGTCTCCTGGGTAGCTAGGATTACAGGCCACCAGCGCCTGGCCATAACAATTTAAGTGAAAAATATCCACCTATTTTTGAATGTAGACATACATATGCCCAAACACATATGCATCCCATAGCCTTGGAAGTGCAGGAATACACATACATACTGTACCCACATGACATACTGCATCCCCGCAGGCCTCCTGTGCAGCCACCACACACCCACACGCACACATGGCCACAAGGGGCAGGCAGTACACACAGACCATCCCATCTGCAGTACAGAGCTAGTTACCCAACAGACCTGAAGTCGGGAGCTTTCCCTCCCAGCACTGCTGACCTGGTGCAGAAGTCACAGGGAGGAGGAGGCAGGCTGAGGACATGTGGTCTTTTGGAAGCACCGAGGGAGCTCCTCGGCTCATGGCAGTCGGATTGCTGCTACCCACAGAGGAGTAGGGAGGACCATGGTAGTCTCGGGAACTGTGGATCCAGTCTTTGTAATTTATTATTGTAGAAAAAACACTAAAAAAGTTAAAATTGAATTCTGAATGGAGATACATATCTTTCATAGACTAAAAGATGTCCATGGAGGTATTTTAAATTTTATACCTGCCATTAAATATCTCAAATCTCTGACTTCACACCATTACTAGTACAGGGACCTGACTTGGCCTTTTGACCCAAGATTCTTTTTTAAAAAATAATTTAAAGTATTTTTTATTGTAAGGATACTGTACAGAGGGGATAGAGTTACATGAGTAAGGTAATGAGTACCCTTCCTGTCAAGGATTGTTACCCCCTCCTCTTGTTTTTCCCCTAATTTCTCTTCCCCACCTCCCCAGCTACTCCCTCCCCCAGCTACTTCCCCTGAAGTTGTAAAGTTTTTTGTTCCCTTCCCCTCCCTAAATTAGAAAAAATGTATGTACAAGATGCAGGGCACCGGAATCAAATACAGTGAAAACAGGTGTTATAATGTGGAGGAAGAACATACAAAAGAAACAAAAAAAATCACACAGTACATTAAAAACAACAGCAACAAAGAAGAAACCTCTTGTGTCCATATCTTGGGGTTCATTTCACTTTGTATAAGGTCTTATGGTCATATGTACATAGCTTTTGACCTTTTCTGCTTGTCTGGTAAGATTATCCTAGACATATACTGCTTATTGCAAATAAGGGAAACCATGGGGACTATGTTTCTTTGGGTCTGGTTTACTTCACTTAATATAATTTTTTCCAAGTCTTTCCATTTCCTAACAAATGTGGTGGTGTCATAGAATTCCATTGTATATATATACCACATCTTGATCCACACACCTCCTGAGGGGCATGTGGATTGGTCCTATATCTTAGCTATGGTGAATAACAATGCTGCGATAAACATAGCTGTGCTGCTAGCTTTAGACTGACCTTGTTTGTGATCGTTTGGGTAAATGCCCAAAAGTGGGATTGCTGGGTCATAGGGGAGGTCTATGTGGAGTCTTCAGGAACCTCCATACTACTTTCCAGAGTGGTTGAACAAGTTTACACTCCCGCCAACAATGCAGTAGGGTTTCCTTTTGGCCACATCTCCAGCATTGAATGACCAGTGGTCTTTCAGGGCCCTGGTGCCTTTGGTCTTTCTCCTTTTTCTTATGACACAGATGAGGGTGAAGTATTTCATATCACTGCTTTTAACAGCCCTTGATTGTTTAGAAGAAAGTCCCATCCGCAAATTCTTACCTTGGGTACCTTTTAGTGTCTGCCTCTTTTTGAGCCCTTCTTCCATGGAGGGGCCTCACCTGTCCACTGTGGGAGCTGGTAGCAGCTCTCCCTCAGCGGCCACAGGTGCTGTAGATGGTTCTCTTCGTCTTTCACATGCCTGGCCTCAGTGAGCTATTGCGAATATTTCTCCTTGGAGAAACACTGCTTGGAAGGTAATATAAGAAACCTGTTTCATAGCTTCCTGTGGTATTGTTGAATTGTTTTGTTTTGTATTTTTTTGTGTGCCAATCCTAGGGCTTGGACTCAGGACCTAGGTACTGTCCATGAGCTTCTTTGCTCAAGGCTGGTGCTCTACCACTTGAGGCATAGCTCCAATTTGGCTTTTTCTGAGTAGTTTATTGGAGATAACAGTCTCACGGACTTTCTTGCCCAGGCTGGCTTCAAACCAGGATCCTCAGATCTCAGCTACTGAGTAGCAGGAATTACAAGTGTGAGCCACTAGCACCCTGCTCTTGGGTGCTGTAATTCAAGAATTTTAGTAACAAAGATGTGATGTGATATTGCTTGCTTTACATTCAGTAAGCAATGAACAAGTTAAAGTTGTTGGCACTGCCATTTCCTTGTGAAAGATATGTTATAGTTGCTATTTAATTTTTTTTATTTTCCTCTTTGCTATATTCTCTTCTAGGACTCCTGCATTATTGAGAGAGAATGGGTATGTGATGGGTACTTAAGTTATGAAGTGTGCAAGTTTTATTTTCATAACAGCTTAAATGAAAACAAAACTTTATGTTATTCTGTCTGAATCTGCAAGATTTGAATCTTGTGACTTGGAGTGTCAGCACTGACTTAATTGGTCTCATCACCCTCTGGGATGGCCAGGTTCTGGGAGGCATGGGCCATTCTGTGTGTACGGGAGTGTGGTCTCACATGCTTCTATTGTAATAGGTAGTTACTGGTGGGGGGATGACTATCTCTACAGTGCTCAGAGCCAGTGAAGGTCCTCAGGTCAGTGCTGAGGGACAGTGGAGGACCCCAGGTCAGTGCTGAGGGACAGTGGAGGACCCCAGGTCAGCACTGAGGGACAGTGGAGGACCCCAGGTCAGTGCTGAGAGACAGTGGACCCCAGGTCAGTGCTGAGGGATAGTGGACCCCAGGTCAGCACTGAGGGACAGTGGACCCCAGGTCAGCACTGAGGGACAGTGGACCCCAGGTCAGTGCTGAGGGACAGTGGAGGACCCCAGGTCAGCATTGAGGGATAGTGGAGGACCCCAGGTCAGTGCTGAGAGACAGTGGACCCCAGGTCAGTGCTGAGAGACAGTGGACCCCAGGTCAGTGCTGAGAGACAGTGGACCCCAGGTACCCCAGGTCAGTGCTGAGAGACAGTGGACCCCAGGTCAGTGCTGAGGAGACAGTGGACCCCAGGTCAGTGCTGAGAGACAGTGGACCCCAGGTCAGTGCTGAGAGACAGTGGACCCCAGGTCAGTGCTGAGAGACAGTGGAGCACCCCAGGTCAGTGCTGAGGGATAGTGGACCCCAGGTCAGCATGGAGGGACAGTGGAGGACCCCAGGTCAATGCTGAGGGACAGTGGACCCCAGGTCAGTGCTGGGGGACAGTGGAGGAACCCAGGTCAGCACTGAGGGACAGTGGACCCCAGGTCAGTGCTGAGGAATAGTGGACCCCAGGTCAGCACAGAGGGACAGTGGAGGACCCCAGGTTAGCGCTGAGGGACAGTGAAGGACCCCAGGTCAGTGCTGAGGGACAGTGGAGGACCCCAGGTTAGCGCTGAGAGACAGTGGACCCCAGGTCAGTGCTGAGGAATAGTGGACCCCAGGTCAGTGGAGGACCCCAGGTTAGCGCTGAGGGACAGTGAAGGACCCCAGGTCAGTGCTGAGGGACAGTGGAGGACCCCAGGTTAGCGCTGAGGGACAGTGGAGGACCCCAGGTCAGCACTGAGGGATAGTGGACCCCAGGTCAGTGCTGAGGGACAGTAGAGGAACCCAGGTCAGCGCTGAGGGACAGTGCACTTAGGTGGAAGCATCGTATCCACATGTGCTCCATGTCTGTGGGACAGTAGGCCCAGGCGGTATGGCCCTGCAGTTAGTGGTAGGGAGGAGCTGAGGAGGGGATCTGGAGGGTGAGCCTGGCTGAGGGCCAGTGGAGATGGGAGTCTCAGTCCACTGTGGTGACCGAGGACGGCTAGGATAGCATAGTGTCCCGGCCGTGTAGTGGGGCTTTAGCCCATCCCCCTGGCATGTGAAGGGTCATTTGGGAGCTGGCAGACTGATGTGTGAGTTTTCATATTGCTTTCTAAATAGTTTTCTATTCAAGAAATTCGGTAGTTCATGGTCTCACGCCTGGCATGCATGCAGGATTTGCCTCCCTTCTTCACTCCACCCCTGTCTGTGGTCAGATGGTCCCTTTGACTGGCACTGGCCTCAAAGGGAAGCCACAGCTTGAGCCCGATCTTTTTGAATCGATGGCCTCTGTTGTACATGGTGGCCACTGTGGTGACGAGGGCCGGCCGGGCCCTTGTGCTGGGGACCCCCAAAGGCTGGAGTCTCTCGCCTCACCATCAGCAGGTCCCTTGTTGTTGTATCTGCTTCCGAAATGGGCTTGGGTTGAGAGGTGCCTGCATCTGAGGTCATCTTGTTTTTGGGGCACTACGTGTGACATGAGAACAAGTTCTGAACATTGTTTTGTTGATTTATGCCTTGCGAGGTACAGCCAGTCAGTCACTGGTGATAGAACCCATTGTGTATTGTGAAGTACTTCAAGAGGCTAGCTCTAGAGTATCTGGATTTCGGTTGCAGTCCACCCAGCTAATTTTTTGTTTCAATTAGAAGGCAACCTTGGCAATGGTAGTTGGTTCCATAACCAACATTTTGACTGCACTTGGCTTAGGGGCCCCATTCAGTCCGTGCCTCTGAGAGTTAGCTGTTCTCACGTCACAGTCCAGGATGCCCGCCCAGCAGGTCCAGCAAGGCCCACAGAGCGGGAAGCTGGTGAGGGGTGTGGAAGGCCTGCGTGTGGGTTTTTGCATGTTCACTCTCTTCTCCATTTTCTGGGGGCGGGGAGGGTGAGGGCCAGTTGTGATGTGGTGCTATGAATAAATAATACTGCTAGTAGTTATGAATAAACAGTATTTTATACTGTCACACCTGAAGACTGTGCATGTTCTTTGCATTTTCAGGCTGAAGATGGAACCCCCCTATCATGAGAGTGATGTAGTTGTGGAGAGATACCTGGCAGCGTTGGAGGAGTCTGTGCCCCATGTCCAGCTTGCCTGCAGCACACAGTACTGTGCCTTCCCTTGGCATGGGAGCCAGCTCTGTGTGTGGGACCCCAGGGGTCCCCCGTACCAGGTACCTCGTGAGTGAAGGTCTTTCCTGTGAAGTGCAGGGCCTTTTCCTGCAGCTCTGTGTCTTATTCTGACTGGCAGCATTACTTTACTCCCTGTGGACTAGCTACGAACCATGGCAGAAAAAAAGTGTTGATAAAACTGCTGTCTTAAGTTCTTAGCTTATGAGATGTCTTAGAGTCACCTTATTAACAATTTCTCAGTAAGAACATGATCATAAAAAGTTTTATATCAACTCAAGCAAGACCCCTTGATCTTTCTTACTTTGCAGTGAGGTAAATAAACTTTGCTTAGAAAACATGCATGTGTGTGCAGCCAAGGCCCAGGCCCTGCCTCCTCTCCGCTCCAGAGGCAATGCCGTTCTGACTGATGCCTGTGTCTCTGTGTGCTCATGTTGGAACTTTGTGTGTTCTGTGTGAGCTTCTGTGCACCATGAGGTGGAGGAATCCTGTGGGATGTTCATTTTGTTTGCTAGATCTTCTGGCAGTGTGAATTGCTGAGCGGCCAGGGAGACATGCACCCCGGCGGGCACCCTGGCAGGTTGCCTCTGCAGATGGTGTATGATGGTCTCACCAACGCTTTAGTGTCAGTCTGGTGACAGGGTAGTCTCCAGTTAGCGTTAGGAAGAACAGATTGTTGTTTTCTTTTTCTTTTTTTTGTCCGTTGTGGGGCTTGAACTCCTTGGGGCCTGGGCGCTGTCCCTCAGCTGTTCAGTCAAGGTGAGCGCTCTACCACTTGAGCCACAGTGCCACTTCCAGTTTTCTAGTGGTTTATTGGAGATAAGACTCTCACGGACTTTCCTGCCCGGGCTGGCTTTGAACTGCAATCTGCAGATCTCAGTCTCCTAGGATGACAGGCATGAGCCACCGGCACCTGGCTCTGATTGTTGTTTTCTGAAGTGACTTCTCTATCTTTCGTAATGTTCTTTGCTTTAAGATCAACAGTGACTGCTTTTTATTCTCATTAATGCTATGTCTTTGTCTCTTTCCTGTAGCATTTATATCTTTGTTCCTATACATTTAGCTTTTGCATGTGTGATAAACATCCTCATCGAAGATACAATAAGCAGGGCCTGGGTGTGGTGGCTCATGCTACTTGGGAAACAGAGGTAGGAGAATGGTGGTTTGAGACAAGGCTAGAAAAAACTAATATGGGACCTTATCTGAAAAACAAGCTAACAAAAGCGTTAAGAACATTACAAGTGGTAGAACACTGGCCTGGCAAGCATGAGGTCCTGAGTTCAATCTCCAGGGCCACGTGCACACATGCACACACTCACACATGCACAAACACAAATTGAATTAAGCAACAAGAAAATGTCACAGTAGGTATATAAACTAGATTTTGATGTTTTTGTGTAAATGCATTTTTCTGTCTAGAGAAACTACCTTTCTGTCTGAAGAACATTGTTTAATGTATATTTAGAGCAGACATGTTGATGCATTATTTAAGCTTTTATCTCCTAATGCTGTAATTTTGCCCTGCTTTTGAAAGATACTTTGACTTGGTAGAGGACCCTCAGTTGGTGGTTTTCTTCAATATTTTAATGTGATATTCCACTGTTTGTGTGGTATTATTATTCTTATGAATTGAATGTGTCATTTTCCATGACACCTTTTAAGATTTTTCTTTTTATCGTTGGTTTTGAGAAGTTAGATCATGAGGTGTTTTAGTGTATTTTCTTATTTCTTGTTTTTTTTTTTTAGCTTTTATAGCTTTATAGTCATCAAATTCAGCCATTCTTTTCAAACATTCCCTTCTCTCCACCTCTGTGGACCCCACGTATGTGTATATTTCAGTGCTTGAAGATTCCCACAGTTTACTGATACTTTTTCATTTTTGTTTATGTGACTTAACCTCCATATATTTTAGTTAATAGAGTTCCTGTGGCTGTGTCTCCTTCACTGGTTTTCCTTCTGCTGTGTCTAACAATGCTCTTAATACACTCAGTTTGGCCTCACCTGGTTTTTGTTTGAATCCTTCTTGTTGTGAGACTGTATTTTATGTCTCCAACTTCTGTTTTAGTGATTGTGTCCAATTCTTCCCCACTGGTGGCTCAGGTGTAGGTTGGGCTCACATCCCTCTGGATGACTATGATGATTTTTTTTTTTTGGTTGTGTTTTCTTTCTCTTAGTTTGTGATCACATGGTCTTGTTTCCCTAGGTATCTGGGTATTTTTGGTTGAATGTTGGACATTACAGATGAACAATGTAGAGCTAGTTTGAGACTGGAGACTTGTTTTCTTTATGTAGCCTTGGTTTGCTAAGGTGATGCCAGCAAGCCCTGTTGCCTGCTCTGGTTAGGGATGATGTTGGCTCCATTCTCAGGAGGATTCTGTTCCCGCTCGGCTTTGCGTCTTGGGTTTGGTTCTTTTCAGGTTTCTAGTTATTGAAGTGTGACTTACCCTCTTGGTGGCTTGTATTTCTAGAAGGCAGTTATTAAAATCTACTCAAGTGGTTTTGCAAGCATGACCTCCTCAACATTAGAGCACTCGGCTCTCTTTCAGACATATAGTGTATAAGGCGGCGGAAATCCTTGTCCTCCTCTCTGTTTCTGCTTTTACCCTTGTGACCATGCTGCCTTCTTTGTCCTCAGCCCTGTCAGGTGTCAGCTTCTCAGCAGCACTTCCTGGACTGTGAGGAGGCTGCCCAAGTCAAAGATGTCTTCATGGGATTGCCTCCTCCGATGTCTTCTCTGTGCTCTTCACCTTTCTAATGCCTTCAAGAGGACTTGTTTGTTTATTCTAATAGAAGTTTCCAGTTGTCTTTCTTGTCAGAAGGGTTGGTATAGATGAAGACTCCTACTGTCACCAGAGGAGAGTTCCTTGTCCTCTTGTTTGAGTGATGACCTTCGTATCAAACTGCCTCTTGTAACTAGGACCTGAGGCCTGTGCCTTTCTCCTCTGGCATTCCCCTTGATCTTCTTCTTCTACTGTCCCTTTAACCTGTCACGGGGGAGCTCTTCTCCTTCTCTGCTGAAAGGTCAGCAGTTTGTCTTCCTGAGCAATGCCACCTGTGTCTGCTGAGCTCTCCCTGTCCCCTCCGTGCTGGCATCAGGGCTGTCCCAAACTTGCCCCTGAGTTCCTTTCCTTTGACCACAGCTTTCAGGTCCCTGCGTCCCTCTCCCAGAAATGGTCTCTGCTTCACTTCCTCTGTGCAGGCCACATGTTTTGAGAGTGTCCGTGCCAGTTCTTGGCTCTGCCTCCTTCCAGGGTTGCTGGACCCACTGTGGCTTCCAGGGATCCCCGCTCTCCCCGCTGGTTGCTGTTCTGTGTGTAATGAGGAAGCACTATAGGTTTTTAAATGAGTGGACAGTGGAAAAGGAAACATACAGGCTGTACCCCACAGCCCTGTGGGGTGTGCAGTGTCACCATGCTGGCTAACTTGAGAGCACATTTTAGTAACAGAAGCAGGGATTGTAATGAATGGATTAAAAATATGCAGTGAATGTATGAAAGTTCGGTGTCTTTAATTTCTTACTTTTTTTGCTCTAATTTTAGATGTTATGTGTACCCTGTGACTTTTTTCTTGTTTTTTTTTTTAATAGCATTTATTCCTACAAGGACACCATTATCCCATCACTGCCATAACTTTCGGAAATAAACCGGACCCACCTTTAATCTGTTCTGCATCACAGGATTATGTTATAATGTGGAACCTGGATGAATGCAGAAAGAAGATTCTTCAAGGTAAATGAAAATGAAAAATAGAGTTTCAAAAAATATCTTACAGGTGTGACTCCTGCCTGCAGTACATCTGGTCACAGGCAGGCTCTGAACTGCTTTTACCCCAGCTGAGAAGGCCAGCATCTGGGTGGATGCTGCCAGCAGACCCTCCAGCCTCTGCTGGCTCACAGTGTGCTGATCTATGGGCTCTGTGCTTTCTTATCTGACACAAGGTTTTACAATATCTGAAGCTATGCAGGCAGCTCTGGCTGGTTGTTTTTCAGGCTGGAGACACAGTGGTAATGGAGCAGGACTCAATGTTGGGATTATGACCCGGGCAATAGTGCCAACCACACCATGCACACAGATGACAGTGCACCTGCGCTGCACACACAGATGATAGTGCACCTGTGCTGCACACCGGTTGCAGTGCACCTACGCTGCAGATACGGGCAGGTGGAGGGCCATGAATTATGGGAGAGCAGCTATGTAATGGCCTTTGGAGTTGAGCAGGAGGTGACTGGAGCTGAAGGAGGTTTGGCTAGGGACTGGTGTTAGAAGCCGAAGCTTTGGATGTGAGGGCTCAGCTGTTGGACAAGTGAGAATGTGGGCAGTCCATGAGACAAGCTCTGCTAGGTGCAGATGAGCTGGGTGGGGACTGTGCTGTAGAACTGGGGATTGTAGGTCCCCTGGCCATGCCAGGTGGCCCCGCCGTCCCTCTGTGTGCGGCCAGGCTAACATCCACAGCAGGTGTGTGCACACGGACAGCAGGTTCACTCACACCCATTTGAGCAAGCTCTGTAGCTTGGCACAGGGCTCCCAGAGATCCAGTATGTACCTGGCAGATGGTCGTGTCAGATGTGATGTGTTGGAGCTGCCCAGGTGAGAAAGCATTTGTGCTCACTTGCCCGGGGTCCATCAGTGTGGGCTGGGGACTGGATGGGGCTGTGTTTGGTTTATTTGGTCCCTGACTGTTCTGGGGTGGAAGGTTGAATTGCTTCTGGGCCTGATAGGTGCGTATGCTTGGACTGAGAGAGTGAGAAGCCACTGGCGCCCCTACAGCCCTGCCATGGGTCCACCCAGTTCAGCCCTTCAGGCCTGCTGACCCCTCTCCTGGTCGCCTTTTTCTGGCTCCTCAGTGTGGGTGTGCAAGCCCTGCCTCTCATGTCTCAGAGCCCTTCCCCAGGGTGTGGACCCAGAGTCCTGGGGCTGTGGCTCACTCCCTGCCCTTGCTGGGGGTCCTCCCAATGCAGCTTCCTGATAACTCCCTTCTTGACTTTACCCTGATGTCTAAGGCTGTTGCCAGCTTTCAGTGCAGGCTGCCTCCCCCGCCAGCCCTCCTCCCCAGCCTTCCCATCTCAGCTCTCCATGCTGTCTTAGCCGTGAGGTTAGAGCCAGGGGCTGTCCCCCCCCCCACTTCCTGTGTTCCATCCATTGCTGAGTTGTGTCTCGCCTTCACACATAGCCATTCTGTGGCATCTCTCCCTCTCCCCACAGTGCTGCCCAGGCTCAAGCCGCAAGTCTCTGATCTGGATTACTGCACAGACCGCTTGCTATCTCCTTGGTCCTGTTCTCCCCATACTGGCATTTGTTCTCAATTCAGAAGCCAGAGGGCCCGTTAAACATCAGTCCACCGTGTCATGCCTCTGCTGAAAGCCCCCCACCCCACCCCACCCCCACATCCCACCTCAGGATCACACATGCAGGCTCCAGCTTCAGCCAGGCTGGACGGGGGGTGCAGGGAGGGGGGTGCAGCCGCTCCCTGATGGGCTCCTAATCACTGTCAGCATCATACCCTTCAGGTCTTAGCCCAGATATCTCCTTTGCCATGACCCCTCTGCCCTTCACTTCTTGGTGTCCTCCTACAATGCCCCTACCCAGTGTACTCAGCTCCTTTAAGTGGCTTGTTTACCACGGCTGGTGGAACCTTTCCCTTGCCTCCTCCATATCCATTTTCACAGAGGCAGAAGCCGGTGTACTTGGTGGTCATGTCCTCATCTGCTGCCCCATCCTCAGCTCCTAGAAAGGGGCTAGCGATTATTGAGTGAGGGAGGGGCCTGGCCTCTCTCGCCAGCAGTACCCCTGTGGCACACAGTCTGCAGACAGTGCCACACTAGTACTCCACGAGACACACAAGTTGGTGTCCACGGGTTCTTGTGTTGCACAGTGGCAGCTTCCGTCTGGCCTGGGCCAGGTGGCAGGCTGTGCTTTCCGAGTCTTCTGGTCCGGCTCTGCCCCACATGCTTGTCTTCCTCACTTTAGGCTGGCTGGCCTGCCCTTGTGGTTTTGTTTTTACGGCGTCCTCTGCCACTCTACACTGGCCAAAGTCAGTGTCACAGCTGATCTTTAATAGGGTGGACATGGTGGAAGAACTCGGGATTCTGTGCTCAGTTTGTACTCATGGTGACTGTGTCCTGCTTGCTGGCTGGGCCGCCTCCCATGGGCATGTCCTGCGCTTCTGATGCTTCAGAAGAATGTTCTAGAGGCTGTCAAAGAATGGTGCCCTATTCCAGCACATTGCCACTCTTTGGACAGTTGTAGAGCAGAGAATTGTGTCCTGGCCCATTTCTCCTCCTGTAAGTCACGTGGGCATGGTGGATGGACTGACACTAACTTTAAACTTGCCCTAGGGCTGACTCCTCAAGGGGCTGTTGTTGGCACCCTTCTGGGAAGAGTACTGTGTGTGAGGTTTGGCCCTGGTGACCGCTCTGTTGCAGTGTGTGCTGGAAAGAAAGTCTTCATGCTGGACGTGGAGGTAAGATTACCATGTGTGAGAGCCATGGAGCCATGCTGGTGGGGCAGCTGGTGCTGAGCTCCACCTGCCTTTGTTTCTGCTTGTGTTCTAAGTGACAGTTTTAATTTGGTATATTTTTATGAAGATCCTGGGGAAACAACAAATGAAAACATTCGGTTATTGGAAAGCCACGGAACTCAGAACTGTTTATAGAAATCATAAGAATGTTACATGAAGCCTGGGTCAAAGATGTCTTTAGCAAATGTGTGTAGTAGAACTCTTATTTCTCAAGCTGTCTACTTTTGGGCCCTTCAGAGCTATGCTCAGCCTGTCTCCTTGTGGGTTCTGCCTTCCACCAGGAGTCAGCCTTCTCACTGATTTCGTAGCTAGAACAGTCAATGTAAAAATGAAGTGGTTTTAGGTTGTGGACTTCCAACATAGTGGTTGTTGGGACCGGGTGCTTGAGCCATGTCACAGGCGGGGAGGGGATGGCAAGTCTCTGAAGCTCTTTGAGAGTTCCCTGGAAATGATCCCTAGCTGCCACCCCCGTCATCTCCCAGCCTCCCATTTGTTAAGTGAGTGCAGTTATCAAGGAGGCTTTCCTACTGCAGCTTGTTGAACACATTAAAAAATTATGTTCGAACAGATGAAATAGTAAGTGATTATCATGTGTATTAGGCATTTGGGGATTCAAATAGAATATATTTCTGTTTTCAGACAACTTTTAAACTAACTGAAAATGAGGTTCCCACTGAGAAAAGCTTGTGACAAAAGCTTGTGGTACACACAAAAGATTGTGATACGCACATCCATTCGACCATCTGTTTACTGACCTGCCCATCATTCATTCACCCATCTATCTACTCATCCACCCATCCATCCACCTGCATATCCATTCCTCCCTCCTTCTGCTATCCACCTTTCCATCCATCCATCCATTCATCCATCTATCTATCCATTCACCTATCAATCCATATACCCATCTACCTATCATCCCTCTATCTCTCCACACACCTACATATACATCTACCCATACAGCTATCCATCCACTGTCCACCCACCCATAGATCCATCCATCCACCTACCCATTTACCAACCATCTGTCTACCCAGTCATCCCTCCCTCCATCTGTCCATTCATCTACCCATCTACCCACCCATATATCTATCTACCTATCCACCCATCGATTCACCCATCCATCTACATCTATCTACCCACCCGTCTACACCCACCCATCCATCCATCCACCCATCTACCCATCTACCCACTATCTATCTATCTACCCGCCCTCCATTCACCATCCATCTCTCCCTTCCTTTATCCACTCATTCATCTACCAACCATCCACCCATACTTCCCTCCCTCCATCCACCATCCATCTGTCCCTTCCTCCATCAATGCACCTATACATTCATTCATCATTCACTCATCCATCCATTTACCCACCCAGATATCCACCTACCCACCCATCCATCTGTCCATTCACCCATTCATCCGCTATCTATCCACCCACCCATCTACCATCTATCTCTCCCTCCCTCTATCTACTCATTCATCCACCAACCATCCACCCATCCTTCCTCCCTCTATCTACCATCCCTTTTCTTCTTCACTCCATAGATTTCTCCCTCCCTTCCTCTATCTACCATCCATCTGTCAACCCATCATTCACATATCCACCCATCTATCCACCCACTCACCCATCCATCCCTCTACCCATCCATCCACTATCAGTTCCACCCTCCATCCACCATTTGTCTGTCTCTCCCTCCCTTCATCCATTCATTGATCTACCAACCATCCATCCATCCACCCAACCATCCCTCCCTCCATCTACCATCCATCCATCTGTCCCATCTGTCCATCTATCTCTCACCCATCCTTCCATCTACCCATCTATCTGCCATCCATCTCCGTCTTCCTCCCTCCATCCCCTAATTCATCCACCAACCATCTATCCACCATCCCTCCCTCCATCTACCATCCATCCATCCATCTCTCCTTCCATCTACCATCCCCCCATTCCTCCCTCCATCTACCATCCATCCCTCCATCTACCATCCTTCCATCCATCCACCCATCCATTTGTCCATCCATCTACCACCCACCCATCTATCTATCCATGCATCTACCCACTCACCCACCCGTCCATCCACCCACCATCCACCTCTCTCCTCCTTCCATCCCCCATCCATCCACCAAACATCCATCCACCCACCCATCCATTCATCCTTCCACCTACCCATTCATTCATCATCCACTCATCCATCCATCCATCCATCTATCCATCTACCCACCCATCTATCCACCTACCCATCCATCAGTCCATCCACCCATTCATCCATCTGGCCCAGCTTCCCCAGTGTGTTGTCAGTGTGCTTCCTATCTGGGTTAAGTTGTATGAGATCAAGGTGAGGCCTCCCATAACTGCCAGAGTCCCCAGCCATGAAAAGTGGGGGTGTCTCTGGCTGTCAGGAGCTCTGGTGCTCTCACTGACATTTCTCAGACAACATCATGGAATATGAGCTTATGACACTGGCTTCTAGGACACTATTTTGGGCTAGGGGAAGTTTAGAATTTGAGGAGAGGATCACTCACTCAGCTCAATCAGAGTGCTGCTAGATATGCTATCTTACTGTGCTCTAGTAACTCCCTAGAGAGAGTAGCTGCTGAGGGAGATGAGAGATGTAGGATAGATGCTTTTTGAAAGGTAGAGGGTAGAAGAGGGACAGAAAAGCCTGAGAGATAAGGAGATAAAGAAAAATACAGAGAGAGACAGGCAGACAGGGAGCCTGAGACAGAGACAGGTGGATACTGAAGAAAAACAAAAACTGAGACTCAGAGACAGAGAGACAGTGATAGAGAAACCGATGGGAGAGACATTGGAGAAGAAAAGGCTGAGCACTGCTTCTCAGGACTGGGTTCTGGATGGTAGAGAACAGGTTTCTGGGAAGATGGGAAACATGGATGTGTCAGGGTTACATTTAGGTAAGATCAGCTTTGGCTAGTTTTCATCTTTTCTAGTTGTCTGAGCATTTCTCAACGCACAGCACGGTCATCAGAAGTTAATTTCTAAGAGGGGGCAGGTAAAGTGAAATCTGTCTTAACAGGAACTCTTTCTGATGCACTTACGACTTTCTGGTGGTGGCCAATCCCCCAGTGTCCCAGAGTCACTTGTAAACCCTTGCAGACGCGGTCTGTGCGGGTGGTACTGCAGGGCCACGGTGGCCCAGTGACAGCAGTGGCGTTCTGTCCCTGGCAAGCAGAAGTGCTCATCTCAGTGTCTGAAGACAGGAGCTTTAAGGTAGGCTGGATATCAAGCAGCTCTAGTTATGAGCACATTTGTAATGTTGTGGTTGGTCACTGTTATATATGCAGTTTTATTTCTACCACACAATGCAGGAAGGCTATCTTCACCCATTTCTGTGTGTAAGTGGCATCTTGATGTTCTGACTGGGCTTGGCGTTCAATGTCCACAGCACAGTTCTTGGGCATCTGGGATTGCTACACAGGCTTAAGGATACAGGGCCCTCCTCCAATCCAGGACCTTGAAGCGAGGCATCAGTCTAGTTACTCTGTTGTCCCCTAGTAACCAAGAGCAGAAGAGCCAGTGTCCATGAGAGGAGGGCTCCACAATACCTGCGCTTTTGCAGAGATACAGTAAAATGCTAGCTCACTTTCAGTGAGCCCCTGGTGAGCTTGCTGCCACATTACCATTTTGCTGATGAAGGGAGGACGTTATACATTGTCCTGAAAGAAAAGTTGAAGGTAGTGACTATATATGAGCAGACTGAGGGCCTGAGACTGTAGAAATACCTGTCCCATGAAAACTGGTTATACACAACAGCTGTTGCTTTTCCTGAGTCTGGATCAGATGCTGAGAACTGAGTCTGGGCTGCACTGCTTGCCAGTGTTGTTGGACAAGCTCCGTTATGTTTACGTGTTTGTATGTTTCATGGACACAATGGTTCCTTTTGCATGACTGGTGGCTGTTTTGTAAGTCTGTGCCGACCGTATAGGACATGGTGTGTACACGGTAAGCACGTGTGCACACCCCAGCCGGATGCAGCTCTGGTTGAGCTCTCTCCACAGCAGGCGCAGGGCCTGCAGCAGACACCATCACCTTTCACTTCGCCCTCCTTGGGGTGTTGATAAACCCATGCAGGACTTGTTCCACCCTTCTGGTGTGTGGCTTCAGTTTGCTCAAATCGGAAGGTGGTCACTCTGAAAGGGTTGTGATTTCTTTTTCTTCATGATTCTGACATCCTGTATCATGTTTCCAAAGTTTTATTTATGATCATCTTTATTATGTTTGATAATTGTTCACCTAGATTAACGTTTCATTGGAAAGAATATAGTTCACACTTTGGCAATAATGGCAACACGTTTACCTCTTCTAAAGCAATGTCTGTCTATCCGAAGGTCTGGGACCATTGTATGGGATCATTAATATACAGTTCATCCATTTTAACAGGTAAATTAAAAATTGGCTACATTTTCACTAAATAGGCTATGTAACCAGATTCTCATATAGTCTGTTATCTCTCAGAGATCCAGTGGTCCAAATCTGTCAGTCTTACTTTTAAATAACCATGTGATGATGTATTTCACTTTAGTGTCTTTGAAGTTTTTAGTTTAAAATCAGCATTAGTTAGAAGTCTGAGCCTCTGTTTCAGGAAACTGGACAAAGCATGTTTGCTCTTAGGTAAGATACTGGCTGCAGGCAGCCATCAGCCCCCTGTTCCTGTGTGGACCCAAGGCCTGGAGATGAAAGCATTTATAGGCCCTGAGTCCCTCACGGTCCAGTGTGTGGGGACTTAGGGGATGGGTTAGACCTCATGAGCTATGTGCTTTCTTCAGACTATCTTTCTGGTGATAAGTGAAATGAACGCCAGGTTACAAAGATGTATGCCTGATGCATTAGAAGTCTCCATGTGGCTGTCCCAGGAGCCTGGGACATGGTGTATATAGTCTGGGCAGGGGTCACCTGCAGGTTCAATGTCCCCTAGAACTCATCCCCTAGCATCACCTCCTATGTTGGATGTGTTCTTCACATGTGCCATGTTTTCATGGGAAGACGAATAAATATAAGCATGACATGGTTCTTTTCTTTTCATGCAAGTGCCATTTAAAGATCATACAGATGCCATGATGACCTGGTGGAATTACTTTTCTCCAATTTACCCATGATCTAGCGATCTCCCTGGGGTCAGTTTACCTAAGACCCAGTGATCTTCCTGGGGTCAGTTTAAGTAAGATCTAGCGATATCCCTGGGGTCAGTTTACCTAAGGTCCAGTGATCTCCCTGGGGTCAGTTTACCTAAGGTCCAGTGATCTCCCTGGGATCAGTTTACCTAAACTCCAGCGATCTCCCTGGGGTCAGTTTACTAAGGTCCAGTGATCTCCCTGGGGTCAGTTTACTAAGGTCCAGTGATTTCCCTGGGGTCAACTTACCTATGATCTAGCCATTTCCCTGAGGTCAGATTACCCAAGATCCATTGATCTCCCTGAGGTCGGATTACTCAAAATCCAGTGATTTCCTTGAGATCAGTTTACCCAAGATCCAGTGATCTCCCTGGGGCCAGTTTACCCATGGGCAACTCAGAATTGTTCACCACTCTTAGGGTAAAGCACATTTCCTGAAGTTAATTATGCAAAATTATTTGGCTGTGATGAAAACAATGATAAACTTGATCTTCGATATCATTAGTAGCTTAGTTACAGGGTACAGTGTTAATCTTCATTTATCTAATTCTCCTAAATTCTTGACAGTTTAGACTCTTTTAACTGAATGGCATTTCATGCAGTCCTTTTTCAAATAAAACAAGACATCTACTTATTTGCTGTTGTCATCATAAGCCATGATTTCCTTCTCCCCCTAGGTAGTTCTCCCTGCGCGGAGCTCCTCCGGGAGCCAGCAGTCACCAGGGGACCTGCTCTGGCTCACGGGCTTTCTGTGAGCTGGTGAGGTTTGACTTACTAGGTCTGCCTGTGGCCAGTGGAGTAAAAGCCACCCATTCTTTATTCTTGGGACAATTTCCCTTTCTTCCTGCTCACTCACAGAGTTTTCAAAATTTGTCTTCACATACACTTTTACATACTGGTGGGAAACACTGAGCTTATCATCAGAAAGCCCAGTGGTAGGAGTGTCCAGGAGTGTGACTGTCCTCTGCTCACCTCTACAGCGTACCCCCTCCTAAGTCTTCTCATCCATGGGGAAAGCAGGCAGCTTGTCACCGGGTGTGCTGATGGCCAGGTGAGAACATGACATGGGAGGCCTCCATTTTCTGGTTCCTTGGAGCAAGGCTGAAGAAGCTTGGTCACCCTGTGCACCCTGTCACCCTGGCAGGGACGCGGTGGTTGGGCCCCCAGGGTGCAGAGCACCTGGTGGTGTGCATGTTCTAGAAGCACCATGTGGACTCCAGAACGTTTCAAAGTTGAGAACCACCTGTTTAGCCATCAGCATCTGCTTTATATGTTTTTGAAGACTGGAAGTATTTTATCTGTACTTTTTTTTCTGGTACTTTAAACTCAGGACTTGTCACGGTCCCTGAGCTTTTTTGCTCAAGGCTAGCACTCTACTGCTTGAGCTACAGCTCCACTTCTCTACTTCTGTTATTTTGCTGGTTATACATAAGTCTCACAGGCTTTCCTGCTGGGTCTGACTTAGGCCTCGGCCTCATGAGGCATGAACCATCACCAGTGCCTCACCTGTTTCTGTTTTTAATGTGAATAATTAAAAAGTATGAACAATATTTTTATCACAAAGCATGGATAAAACTTGGTATAAATATGACAAAGGTACAGTAAGGACCTAAGATAATTTATATGCATTTTGACAAGGGTGGTGACTACTGTCCTGTGTCTTACCTCTGGAAAGAAGTCAGAGATGTTTATGGCTGAGCCTGTGCCAAGGGCTGTGGGACATGTATAGGGGACCTCATTCCAGGTGTGTCTTGAGGAGCTTGTGTGATAGGGGTGTGGCTGTCCTTGGATCTGCTGGCCCTTCCGAGCAGGGGCCCTGAGGCAGTGGGGGTGTCCCAGCCCAGTGTTCTCTCGGGAATTTTACTGCTTGTAGTAAGTATGTAAGTATCATGTACTGAAGGAGATTCACATCTTCATGTGCTTTGTTTTTGTAGCTTCAGATCTTCAGTTTGATTGAAGGATATCATTATCGCCGTGTGGCATGTGTACACTTAAAGAAGAAAAGTAAGACCTTCTCCACCAGAAGGGGAAAGCCTGGACCACACAGACTGCCAGGTGAGCTGCTGTGTCTCATGGGACTTCCAGCTGAAATGTAGCACTCACAATCAGATCCTCACAGCCTCTGTTAGGTTGGCTGGGGAGGAAGTACAACACGAGATTCCTTGATTAGAAAAGGTCCAGGGTCCTGACTTGACACCACGTGTCCTGTGTGTGCTGATAACCAGTGTGCAGACTAGACCAGAGTCCTGACCTCAGACACCACGAGTCCTGTGTGTGCTGTGAACCAGGGTGCAGGCTAGACCAGAGTCCTGACTTGATGCCATGAGTCCTGTGTGTGCTGATAACCAGAGTGCAGGCTAGACCAGAGTCCTGACCTCAGACACCATGAGTCCTGTGTGTGCTGATAACCAGAGTACAGGCTAGACCAGCGGGGCCTGACCTCAGACACCACGAGTCCTGTGTGTGCTGTGAACCAGGGTGCAGGCTAGACCAGGGTCCTGACACCACGAGTCCTGTGTGTGCTGTGAACCAGGGTGCAGGCTAGCCCATCGGGCTCCTGACCTCACACACCACGAGTCCTGTGTGTGCTGTGAACCAGGGTGCAGGCTAGCCCATCGGGCTCCTGACCTCAGGTGGCAGGAGGTCCGTGGTGTGCTGCCATGGGGAGGGATGGAGAGGGGAACCTAGGACAACACCTGGGTGGGGGCCTGCAGCTTTCGAGGGCCTGGGTCCCCTGAGGCTGGGCGTGTCCCACCTGGAGGAGGGAGCCTCCCCTCCAAGTCTTGACACTTGTTCTCCAGGGGGATTGACTCTGTCTCTGGCTCATGTGTTAATGTTCATGTTACTTTGCTCCCTACACATTTGTCTTATTCTTCATGTATTCTTTTCATTTTAGCTTTGAATAAGTTTTGTAGTAGCTTAGACATTACTGACCTATGCTATATTCTTACTTTTCCCTAAGGCCTTAAGCCTTGGTTTTCAATATTTCTCTCATAAATATGCATTTCTACTTTAGGAACTATGGAGATAATGACTTCACATTGAAAGTCTTTTCCCCCACTCGCTTTCTTGGCTCAATCTGTTAAAATTCTATCCTCCATGAACTTCAGAATCTACAGTGTAACTTTTTACATTTACCATATTTTCAAGGTGTTTTGTTTTTGACTTGTGGGTTAGACTTGCTGTAGCGTCCCCTGAACCAGTTCTCTGCTTTAATCTTGAACAATGACCTCTCTGATCCCTAGGAGGGGGTTGGCAGCTGCGTGGAAAGGAGGCGGGCACAGAAGAGGCTGAAGCAGCACTGCCGGTCCTCACTCTTGCTCACTGTGCACTTCCGCATGCTCTGGCAGCAGAGCCTGGCACGTACGTATGATGGAAACCTGCATCTTAGGGTGGCAAAAATACCAGCTTCTCTGGTCCCTGACTTTACTGACTATAAGTGATTACTTAGATTCATGTATTTAAAGCCTGAGATTTGGTAAATTCGGATGATTTTAGTTGTGTCACCAGGAATTTGATTATTTTAATTTTGCCCACCCAAATCTAGACAGATGTTTGCCTTTGTAGTAGGACTTTGATTTAGAAAGAAAGTAGGCAATCGTAACTTACTCTAAACTCCCTCTTTTCCCCATGTGTACCATGTATTTTAAATGAAACCTAAATGAGTTGTCCTTATTTCTGTGGAACCCTGAGGAACCCAAGGGGGTCTTGTCTGTGGTTAGAGTGTTCAGTTCTGTTCATGATTCCCCCAAGACAGCTCTGGCAGCGGTAGAGATGTGCTTTGAGAGGAAATGAAAGCCCCAGGGCAGTTTGCTCCAGGCTGTCGTGGCCCTGGAGGCCACATTCCTCCAGCTGCTGCAGGAAGGCACTAGCCGTGCTGCGGGCTGCCCACCGGACGTGCAGTGATCCCTCTGGCGCCCAGTGCTGGGCCTCGCCATCCCATCTAAGACTTCAGCCCGGGTGTTGCAGAGATGGGGCGCAGCCGAGGGAGGTGGGGCAGATGGGAGCACTGGAGCATCAGGTCTCAGCTGGGAGCATCTGTAAGCCTGGTAGGCTTGCATGAGTTCTGTTGATTGTCTGTCGATGACCCACAGACCTGTGCTGCATACTGGTGTGCTGTACCTCAGGACCCAGGAGGCTACTGTCTGTGCTGGTTACCTCCTTTACCAGGTGGCTGCAGAACCTTTAGAGGAGGGCGCTGTGGTGGCCTTGAGCTGCATGACAGGCCCCTGGCTTGGGCAGTGAGCCCAACTTCTGTAACCTTGGAAGAAAACACGGGGGCCAGAGCCAGGCGGGGTTGGGCCCGTGGCTTCTGTGAGACTCTGTCTCCAGGTGGCAGGCATTGGGTGCCGGAAAGCCAGCCCAGGTCTCCCAGCTCGCTGCCTGGTTGGAATGGTGTTGGCCTGGGTTATCCACAGTGAGGCGTACGCATGGGCGCTGGGGGGGCTGGTGGGCAGTGAGGACCTGTGCATTCACCCCGGGGAAGAGAGGAGGAGTTGATGCCTCCTCTTTGTTTTCAGATTCATCTCTGGCAGCGCTGAGTGTGTGTGGATCGGAAGCCCGGTTGGCTTATTTGTGTTTAACTTGGCAAACTTGGAATTAGAGGCTGACTTACGCTTCAAGGGTAAATATATTCACCAAGTATCATCTCCTGTACCGAGGGTTTTCTTAAAAAGTAAGCTGGGCTAATAAAGGTTTAAGGATAGAAAATATCACCATTTGAATTTGTGGGTAAGTTTAATCAGTAGCTAGCTATTTACTCAGGACATCAGGAGCTGTTGTGTTGGTGAATTCAAAGGCCACAGCTTCAAGGCTGCTCTGCCCTGTTTCTCTGGATATGGGTTCTGGCTGCGGAGGTTCCGGCCTACCACCCGCTGCCCACTGCTCCTTCATGCAGTGCTCTGCAGATGTTTGGTGTCCTACCCTGCTGGCTGTGTGACAGGAAGACCCGTCTCCTTCCTCGTCACATCCCCTGCTGCTCCCTCCGTGCTGATGTGTGCTAGGCACTCATAACAGGGCCACACTAGCACGTTTTTCTCCCCTGTATTCGCTCTTCAAACTTTGTTTATCTTTGTTCAAAATTAAGATTTTCGGGGCCTGAGCATCCGGGTTGCGGGGTCCTGTGCGGTGGTGAGCGACGGAGTCGGTGACAAGGTCAGCCATGGTGGAGTGGGCAGGGCCCATCTCGGGGGACTTGAAGCCGACACTCATCCACAGCTTGCTAAGGGTGTTGTGACTGTCCCCACAGGCATTTTGTGTACTCACGTCCATGTTTGGGAGTCAGGCTGCGGTGTTGGAAATCAGCCTGTCCATGCTGCTGCGCTCCCAGCAGTGTCTCTGGGAGGGGCCATTGCTGTCCGTGCTGCCCAGGTCAGTCAGAAGTGTGAGCTTGTGTGTGTGTGTGTGTGTGTGTGTGAGATAGAGAGAGAGAGAGAGAGAGAGAGAGAGCCAGCAGTGTTCTGAGTCCCTTTTCACATGAAGAAATAAAGGTTGAATCCAGGATCCAGGAAATGCAACTATGCTGATCCTCTGTGGAAGAAATGATGGTTTTTACATTACTTTCGTCTCACTTACAACACATGGATTGTAGTTTAATACAAAATGCTGCTTTATTTCAGAATAAAACATGAATCACAAGCAGTACTTTCCTTAAAACATATTAATACTTTTCTTATATGGATAAATGCTTTTTATTTCCAAATATTATATACCCATATTTGCGTGAATTTGCATTTACAGATGCCCTAAAAATGCACATCTCATTGAAACAATTCTATCATTGTTTACTGTCATCCCATGGTCTGTTTTTCCTTTAGCTCCTGTGTCCTACCCACTTCTCCACTACATTTTGGAATTTCTAAGGAAAAAAGTCTCAAGCCTGCTAATCAAAAACGACCTGGTCAGTATCAGCCCTCCTGGAACACAGGTGCACACAGGTACCTCTATCAGCTCTGTCCCTGCCAGCAGATGCCTCTGTCCCTCCATAATGTTTATTGCATCTGGTCTGTGGTAGGGATATGCAAGGTGCTGATAAGACAGACATGCTTGGGGCTGGGAAGATGGCTCAGTGGTAGAGTGCTTGCCTTGCATGCCTGAGGCCCTGGGTTTGATTCCTCAGCACCACGTAAAGCAAAATGAAAAAAGCCGCAAGTGGCACTGTGGCTCAAGTGGTAGAGCGCTAACCTTGAGCTGAAGAGCCGAGTGACAGCGCCCAGGCCCAGAGTTCAGGCCCCACGACCGGACCCCCCCCCCAAAAAAAAAAAAGACATGCTTGCTTAGGGTACTTTTTTCCTAATGACTCTGCAGCTGTTTACAGGGTAGACTTTCAATATTACACACTGAAAAGCATGTTTTGAGTAGTCTGTTGTACACATCCACAAACAGTCCACATAATACTTCTTTTTTTTTTTTCCAGAGAAATACCCCTTGTTTTAAGGTGGTGGATTATATCATGTCCCAGTTACTTTGCTTGGTGAACCATTAATACTTATTTTTACTTTAATGAACCATCTTAATCAGTCTTATTAAGCTTAGCCTGACCCAGTTAAAAAGAAAAAGGTTCTCAGCTCATTGTTATATTCTGCTTATAGACATCACACCTGAGTATCCCTCTCTGTCAATAAAGGTATCCTTGTTACTTGCTAGGCAGCCCTCCCCCTGCCCCCCACTCCTCAGTCCTGGGCTGGCCAGTTGGAGCTCTGTTCTGTGGAGCAGGAAGTTGCACCTCTTGATCTGTATCTCTTCTGGGGAGGGCAGAGTCTCACTGGTGCCAGGCTGGGGTACTGTGAAAAGTCAGAGATGTGACTTTATTCTGCTCATGAACTCACGGAACCTGTAGGAACATGACAGAGTGGTCAGCCTTGAACAGCACCAGAAATACAACTGTGATCCTTTGTGAAAAAAAGAAATAGTTTTAGAGTCACACAACATTATTCACTTGTCCATTTTCTAAAGTTGTTTTATTGTAGAGAATGTTCATCTGAAACACCAAGAGTTAATTCACAAAAATAAGTCTTGATGGAAAGATTGATTGATGTTTGTAAATGTTTGTGGTAAATTAAACAAGTGGCAGTGCTGTGGGAAACACACACAGTAAAAGATGGATGGGAAGTTGCTGTTTCCATTAGAATGCCCTCATTAGGCTATTAGTAGCTTATCATTCTTACTCTGCACATGAAACAACTGTGAACAGTGAGGCTTGTTCATAGAGAGGCTATGAAATTAACATTGATGTTCATGGAGAAAATATGTGTGGTGTCCCTGTTCACGGACAGACTGTGTGTGGTGGATATCTGTTCAGAGAGAGACTGTGTGGTCCCCATTGCTCTTGACAGAGACACTGAGTGTGGCAGATGTCCCTGTTCACAGAGTGTCCTCAGTCTCCTGTTCATGGAGACACCGTGTGTGGTAGATGCCCCTTTTGTTGACAGAGTGACTGTCCTCAGTCTCTTATGCATGGAGACACTGCGTGTGGTGGACGTCCATGTTCACAGAGTGACTGTTCTGTCTCGTGTGTTCATGGAGACACCATGTGTGGTGGACGTCTCTGTTCACAGAGTGACCATCCTCAGTCACGTGTTCATGGAGACACCATGTGTGGTGGACGTCTCTGTTCACAGAGTGACCATCCTCAGTCTTGTGTTCATGGGGACACCGTGTGTGGTGGACGTCCCTGTTCACAGAGTGACTGTTCTCAGTCTCGTGTTCATGGAGACACCGTGTGTAGTGGACGTCCATGTTCACAAAGTGACCGTCCTCAGTCTTGTGTTCATGGAGACACCGTGTGTGGTGGACGTCTATGTTCACAGAGTGACTGTTCTGTCTTGTGTGTTCATGGAGACACCATGTGTGGTGGATGTCTCT